CATGCGCCATACGTCGAATTCTTCTCCACAAAATACGATTGATACTCAAAATCATTACGCAACAATATTTTTTTAGTTCCTCGTAAAGAACGAGAGTTTGTTTACATCTCGGCTTTAAGTAAACCAAACTAGTGAAGACACATGCACTACAGCTCGTGATTTTAATTCGAGCATAAATTTGACACTGCATCGCTCTTGAAACCACCATCATCAGCATTAAGCACAACCAATTTGTACACGCCATGAAAAATTAGAATTATTATACCGTGAGTTTCACCTTAATGGATAGCGAATACAGAAAAAATATAGAAATAAAATAAAGAAGATAAACGAATAAAGAAGATAAAATCGAATCGACAGGAGTAGGAGGTGGAGTAGCTGCAGCTGAACGTTGACAACATGTGCGTATAGAATTTGATAGCCTGCATTGGGATCAAGTGATCCAACACAGAGCAAAGGGATATATGTAACTGCGCTCTGGTATTAGTGAATCATTGAACCACGCAAACTTCAAATTAATGTTAATTTCAATGAGCTTTTTCCTCCGATTAGAAATTTTTTATTATATAATCTTACAAATTAACTCTGATGTCGATAAAGAGTATAGCATCCACTATTCAATAGTAAATAAGACTGCATGTACGTGAGAAAAGAAGACCAATACATAGAATTAGCAGGAGGTCGAAACTTGGAAATTTATCGAGACGTGAAACATTTTTCTAATCTGAAGGGATTTCAGGTGAATTATTTGTCCATGGAAATATTTAAATCAGAGACACGAGTGCAAAGATGCAGAAAGGCAAGTGAGCACAAGCTCATGTAGAATAAATTACACATTGCTGACTGTCTAGTTTGTTGCCATATATTGCGAGTCGATCATGCTGGAAATGCATTACTATATTGCCATCAATGCTGGCATGAAAGACAAACGACCGACACAAAGACAACCGCCTGAATTACACATGCACAAATCAATGGTTTACATGTTGTGATCTAGCCCGTGACATGCACACATGTGCCCATCACTCAGATGCCAACAGGAAAACGTAAGAAAGATTGGCAAGTGGTAATTAATCTACCATTCTTGAGCGACAAGTTTCGTTTAAAGCTTGCAGCGGATAATTGCACGGAATAAAATTCGTTCCCAAATAAAAATAATTAAATTAAAATTCCTCATTTCGTTATCGGCATTGAATTAAAGCATTTCTTCTACATCACCTGTGATTTCAAATGAACCCTAATATTTCTGCGAAATTTCGTTATAAATATTCAAATGCCAATTTGGTTACCGCTTACCGGACAAGTGATCAAACTGAACTGGCAAGAGAAAACAATTGCGTGCCAGAGGAATACGACTCTTCTTTAATACGACACACATCGATGAATATATAAACATTCGCAATCAAGGAATCAAGGAAGAGGTCGAAACAGCTTGCAAAGCAAAGACAAACTATTTGAAATTTGTTCCGGGTAAACTGCGGCGTCGCGCTAACGGGAGTCTTGAGGAACGCTTATTCTTGTAGGTGCAACGTCATTGTTATCCATCAAGGCGTCATAGCCGTATCCGCAGCATCCTCGCCGTGCGTCGCAGCGTCATAACAGGCTCGAGCTGCGAATGTTTATGCTCTAAATGCAAGAATAACGTAACCCGTCTTGTGGCTTGCGCTCATCGCCTGTGACGAAGCTAAGGCGTAGCCGAAACAGGAGATTCATCTGCAGCCAAAACGCGACTTGGAGAACCCATACGGAGGCATATACAATCTAATCCCTTTGACATATCGATGAGATGAGAATACATGAGCAGCGTCGTATGCTGCAATAATAAGTGGCAATACTAAACAATTCAGAAAAATTAATTCTATGGAGATGAAGAAAATATTCATCGGCTTTCTTTTGAGTGCGAATTTTTTAGGGAACAACGGAGTCGACAGCTAATATACATGACACGCATCGCTTAAAACTCGCACATTTTTTGACGACCATGCATGCACGTTTAAGCTTCATCAATGCATTTAGAATTCAGATCAGAATTGGATTCAATAACAGCTTCGTGTAGTTGAGCACGAAGCTCTTTTGAAAGGTTCGTTTCCAGGAAATGAACTTAAACCTTTTCCCTAGAAGAATACAGCCAATATAAAAATCGAAGAATATCAGTTCAATTAACTGAGATTCACTGAAGTACTAAGTATTTCCGGGTTTAGGAAGCCTCTCAGTGAAGGACATTGCTAGGCCATACCATCGGTGACTCACCAGTGATGATGCAGGTTCTCCAAACCCCAAAGAAATAGTTCGAAAAAAATATTAATCAGCAGTCCATGGGTCTAACAAAGCGCGAGATGAGATTATGAGTCGATAAAAAATCTGAATGCGAGTCGACACAATGAGGGAAAGATGAACTAAGGTTAATGAACATAAATCGAATGATAAAATAAGGATCAATGAAAGAAAAAATTCATGATACGCTGCAACACGTGTCTATAGGCCATTAGAAAATGCGATAGCTGAATGTATTCGGCACCTAAGGAATACAGACGAGACTGTCCGGCAGACAAGACTGTCCGGCAGACAAGACTGTCCGGCAGACAAGACTGTCCAACAGACAAGACTGTCCGACAGACAAGACTGTCCGACAGACAAGACTGTCCGACAGACAAGACTGTCCGGCAGACAAGACTGTCCGGCAGACAAGACTGTCCGACAGACAAGACTGTCCGACAGACAAGACTGTCCGACAGACAAGACTGTCCGGCAGACAAGACTGTCCGACAGACAAGACTGTCATACAGACAAGACTGTCCGACAGACAAGACTGTCCGACAGACAAGATTGCCAGACAGACACGATTGCCAGACAGACACGATTGCCAGACAGGCAAGATTGTCAGACGGACAAGATTGCCCGACGGACAAGATTGCCCGACGGACAAGATTGCCAGACAGACAAGATTGCCAGACAGACAAGATTGCCAGACAGACAAGATTGCCAGAAACACGATTGCCAGACACGATTGCCAGACAGGCAAGATTGCCACAGTCAAGATTGCCAGACAGACAAGATTGCCAGACAGACAAGATTGCCAGACAGTCCAGCCGGTCAGACAGCCAAGTTTTACATGCAAACAAGCTTGCCTAACACACCAACTTTACAGACACACGAGCATTACAGACGTAACATGTTGAAAGACTTAAGAGGTTTGCAGGAAACTTTGTTTATTGATAAACAAAACTTAAGCGAAGCTTGATACCATTACTTCACCGACGGCTCAGCACACGACTTTTAGGCTAGTTACAGTACAGCAACGGGCCATAATTGATAGAAGTGACCCATTCTCCACAGAACAAAATTTATTAATCAGCAGTTTCATTCGCGGCAGGTTTTGGTAAAATATTTTCCCACGTTTGCCAGAATTTGTTGAGAAAATGTGCACCATTCAGGTCATGTAGGCAGTTCTTGGTTATGATGTACGTAAATAAAATATGAATATTGGTTTCGATGATATAAAAACTTTACGCACGAGATATAAATATTCAAATAGCAAGCCACGGATGAAAATAGACCGAATTAAATTTGTGTAAGAATTCGTTATAAAAGATTGAAACTTCTGGACAGAAGTCGAAACGAAATCTTATAGTTTTGCGATCATTCAAAGTACCTACCTATTTAACGACTGAACTTATTACTACTGAATAATGACGTATATACATATTTCTCTAAGATAGCAGCAGTTCACGAGTTGAGCAAAGCTTGGCGATACGAATGATTAAAAAAGAATTAATCTAGTTTTAGATAAATCTAATAGACTTTCGAGAAAACAAAGTACACAATTTAATCTTCACCACTGAATAGTTATTCCCACGTGGATTGAATATAAATTAACACATGATACAAGGTGTAACAATTTTATGTACGTAGAACATACGTGCCTATAGCTTCAGCATGCCTGGAAAATGAGTATAATTAAGGGATACGTCAATGGGGCGTGACGATAAAAATCTACGAGATAGCACGGTTCCACGGTACACTATAGATCTACCATCCATGGGTAACTAATGCATTGTATCATGCTTGAGGTATTTCTGTCCAGCTTATAAACATAAATGGCAAAATATTCTTCTAGTGCTTGCAATGCGAATTTATTTCTCGGCCAGTGCGTCTGGTGAGCTAGTTGAGTGGAATCTATCAATCTTAACAATTTAAAAGAACACTAATAAACTATAAAGTCTCCTTCATTATACTGCACCGAATGTTTGGTAAATTCATTTGTAATTATCTCCGTCGTCCTTTTAATCGAGGAATAAGAATATGTAAGAATAAAATACATGTAGTTATAAACAAAACTAATAAGAATCACAGGAAGGGCGTAGTCGGGAAATTTCGCCAGGAGTTCAGCGTAACTCAGACTAGGATGGTTTCTTGCGTTCGTCTCGTGGAGCAGAATTGGCATGAAAGCACTTGGATGATTTTAGGTGAAAAATTTTCAACACCTTGGATAAGAAAGTCGTAGGAATGTATAAATTAAAGAGCGAGATGCATAAATATACAGGTTTAAATTAATATTAGTAATGAAAACAACTATATTAAAATTCAGAAACGACGAAGAGACCAACTTTTCGTGGTAGCCTATAACGGGCTGCACTTAGGAAAAAAGCCGAATTCTACATGGATTGATATAATGGATCAACAATTGAAAGCGCAATTAAGCTCAGCGGTAGGCGGGAGATTAACAAAATTCATAATGGACAGACAGCTGGCTATTATTACTAAGCTATATTACACAACATAGCAAGCCTTAGAATGCTAACTAAATTACTGACGAATAAAACGTCAGGATGAATCCTAAACTTAAGTTACTGATAGCAACAAATGCAAGGGACAAAAATAACTTGCATAAAGGCAGGCAACCAATTTATACGTCCGTGGGAACCATGGGGCATCGGGAGAGCTTGAGATACCTGCTTCCTTTTACTTCGCTTTCAAGCAAAAGGTTAGATTTCGCTTACCGTGTAATCTGTCAGACTTCAATCGAGTCACGATCCAAGTAAATAGCAACTGACGCTGCAAGATTTGCTTGCGGACACACAAGCTATATGTGATTACGATTTATTTCTCACACGAAAATTGATGAACAGGTCTAACGCTACCCACTACAACCCACACACGTTGAACGCCTGGGAGCTACTGACGCTGTAGCGAAAGAGCAGTCAGCTGTAAGGAGCGGGAGCCTTGCCCTGCGCGAGGACTTTCAACGGCTGCTGGTGACGCCAAGTAAACAGAAAACGTGGGAAAGAAAACTCACAATTCGATCGGGAACAAAATATAACTGTCTCAAGCTTACATATACCCTTTGGCAGAATCGAATTGTCATATGTTGAAAATAACACAAAGTGAATAATACATAAAAAATGCTTACCATTTGCACATTGAAACGCAAGCTAATAAACCCAATTAGGCCTAACATCTTGGTCCGATCAGACATGGTTCAACCTTGGATCAGACGCTCCTAGGAGTCCTAGATGCAGAAACGATGAAGCTGTTGTTTGTCGCTGTCGTGCGCCCGAACCTTGAGTTGGGAAACGCCGTCTGATCACCGAATTTTGAAAAGGACAAAAATTAAGTAGAGAGTGTACAAAGACGTACAACAAGGATAATTCCATGCTTGAAGGGCAAGACTCACGAGGAAAGACTAAAGATTATGAAGCTTTCAAGTCTCTGTTATCAATGTCTGCGTGGTGAGGTCATTGAAGTATACAATACAAGTATACTCATGATTTATGCAAGGTCCCAGAAAAATTACTAGAAATTGAAACAAGAACTAACACCAGGGGCCACGGCTTTAAACTAAAAAAACGCGATGCAGCTCATCCACGCGACAACATTTCTCTCTTGGAGTCACCGCCATGTGGAACAGACTCATTGATTACACCGTTGACGCTCCGAGTATGAACGAGTTCAAGAACAGACTAGATACAGCTATGGAAAAATATATGTTCAGACTGGTAGCTGTTTCAAACTATCGCCAGTTTTGAAAAGATCTGATCAAAGGACCTGTTTGTAGATCTCCTGTGAACAAGTCACGAAAAGTATGAGAATCGGCGACAGGCCACATCAGGCCTATTCTTCAGCGCCAACATCACCATGATATTATATTATAGCATTTGTTGGAACTGTTTTACAGGAGCGTAGAGTAGTTTGAAAATTTCCAGAATTAATTCTGATGCCTACATAAAATGAAAGTGAAAGGTTAAGAAAATAATATTTTGCAATATTTTTTTTACGTTAAGACCAAATGCTGGGTCTTCATTGAAGAAACAGTATTTTTCTAGAATTCAATATTCATTTTACCTCTCTGATTGTAGATCTAATTTCACACGAGAGACTAATTTTGTGTGCACAATGATTTAAAGTTAATGGTTTAAATCTATAAAAACTATCAAAATATAAACAGAAAAATATTGAAAAGAACAAATGAAAAGAACGTTGGTACCGTGTCGAGGCCCAGACAGCAGACTTGCTGCGATAACAGCATGCAGGGTTCTGATGAGACGCTCACTAATTCTTAACGCGTGGCCACGAAAGCAGACACCGCCTCAACACTGAACACATACACAAACTCTGCACAACTAAGGTGGTGTGGTGGGCGTCGTGAAATTGCTGGCAGAGCAGAGAGCTTGCAGTGAGAGTCGTGAGGTTGCAGTGAGAGTCGTGAGGTTGCAGTGAGAGTCGTTACAGTCCGATACATCCGATTCTATGTACACGTTTTTCCGATACATTCCGGCATTTCCGATACATTTCAGTTTTCCATCCTGCAGGTTTTGTCTGTTGTAAACAATAGAATCATTTAAAAGTCTTCGTACATGCTGAAAATTTAGTGAGAATTGTTTTATAACAAAAAATATTTCATTCTATAACTATTATGGTTTTTCATTTTGAATTCAAACATATATAGATTCATTAGCGTACATCAGTTGCTGGGTTCAAATCGGCCTAGCAAGCGATGAATCGTGTATCATCAGCACAACTATGACACATGGTATGACAATATGTCATCGGTGTACTGATCAATGTACTGATTGGTGTACTGATTCAATTATAATCAGCTAATTATATGTAAATCATTATAGACCGATTATCAAATTACAGCCGCCAAAGTAGTTGCCAAGGCGAGCAGAAAGAGATTGTTTAATATGATGTTTTCTTGTTTTCATGCGAGTAAATTTTCATGCAAATAAGTAAGTTTAGCCCAAGAAAATAGATAGCGACAGAGCTCACGCTTGACAACAAGAAGGCAGGGACTGAGTACGAGACATCGTGTGTAGATGTTGCTGAGCATCATGCAAGGCGCACATTCTGAACGAGCGTTCATCACAGCTAATAGGATAACCTAAGAAGAAGATGGATTAATATTAACAATAATGAGTAGAGAAGTAAAACCCCCTCCTGTCATCCTTGTATTATAAGGATAAACTTGCCTATTGTGAATTTGATATCAGGATTCACATCGGGCAAGATTGTTAGTCTGGAGTGCCTGTACTTTCAACTCTTGGCACAGTCACAGTAACAATTTTATTTACATTACACAGGCTCCGCTTATCGTGCAATTTACTTATTACATCTATTGGACACCAAGCAGCGAAAAACATTCATGTTTGATGGCGGTTACACAAATCATGCAAAGTACCGCAGTTTATTATCTGGAGCATAATACGCTGATTGAATGCACTCTCAATGAAGACCTGCAGCCGTGACCGCCCGAGCGGAACGCTGTTCAACAGATGCTTGGGAGGTCTTGTCACCTGTGGGGAAGAATTAAATAGTTGACCACAAAAAAGCAACAGAAAACGAGAGAAAGAAAATCCACCTTTCGACCATGAACAATGAAGAACGAATTTTTTACTGAATGTGATTTCAATGCATTGAAAATTTACCCATATAATAAGGGATAGAATAGGGCTTATACTAAAATTGGATTCTGCATGTCATTGTAAAGTTTTTGTTATTCGTAGAAGAATGCCTTGAGTGACGCAAAATGACAGTAGATTTCATTGGAGCAGCTTTCCTGGAGATAACATCTTTCCATCCTAAAATAATAAGTTGTTATTCCTTAAACTGTGTAACTGCTGCATAAATGTTGTCTTTCGAGCAGTCAAATGCCTCGTCATAGATTTGGCCTTCCCGTTTTTATAATACCTGGTGTGCCACGCATCTGTTGATACAAAGATTATTAATTAACAAAACTAGTAAGCAGTTCAATAGTTCATTCATTTAATCATTTCAAATTCATTTCAGTTGTACTCAAATTGTAATGTAATTAAATGAAATTCAGTTGAAAAATAACTTAAATTACAAAATTTGCTTGTAAAAAGTTAATTTGTTTTATATATGCTTGCTATAAAAAAAACAGTTGGCATTCCCACTAAGCATTACGAACAAGTTGAACTGAGTTGCGAGCAAAGAACCTTAGCCAAATAATGAACAAATTAATATAGCTCGACTTATGTGATAATTGAAGATCTGTAACAAAAAATGTGTCGACTTTGATATAAATGAAATATTTTGCTAGCTTGGAGTATACAATGCGTTGGTAAAATTAAATATAAACAAGGCAAAGGTCAATTAAATGAAAATTAAACTGAGATCGAATTTCATACGACATGGTAATTGTTTGAAAATCAGAACGAACACATTGCGGACTAATTCCATTCCCTGCTGTGTTATATTAAATAAATAAGTAGGATAAAATAAGGCACAGGATTTGTGAGGAGGCACATATATATTTAGTATATTGGAATGGATGCGCACGAATCAATGCAAAAATGTAAATAGAAACAAGTGAGAGGCTGAGCAAGTAATTATAATTAAACTAAATGTGAGAGCGTATTCGAAGGATAGACTTTAAATAAACTCTACCAGGGAATATCATTATTCAAGGTCAGTGAGGGTAAAAGTCTGATGATTCAGTATTATTCTGGAAGGTAATTTCTTCTGTTCAGGGCTACGAACTGAAAAAATTAGGTCCGATTCAAAAAGTTTCTCTCTCTGGAAGACGGAATTGCGACGAAGACGAGATAATTTGTAAGTTTAAAAACTTCGCATCGAACTGCGAGAAATGTCGACGTCGTAAGTTGAGATCAAATTCCATGCTATATGTACAGATTACAAAGATCACGGTCAAGACACATGGGACATAGCTGAAAACAAGTTGTGTTTATAAGCTTGTACACTGTTAAATGAAATTCTTTTAGATAAATAATCGACTGCTTATAACTTAGTTTATTTCCACTTGAGTAATTTATAATTAAATATTAAATAGATTCCTATAACCAAAAAATCACATAATTGATGATGAAAGCTGAAGTGAGACGGAGAGTAAAAAGAAAGTTATTATTAATAACGGGCTATGAGAGCGGATTCGATTATTTGACCATTAAGCAACAAGTATATGAAAACATTTGACTGCTCGCTACAATAATAAAATTCAATTATACTAATTATTTTAATCATTTTTAACATTTCGAGATCAGAACGAGGGGAACTAATTAATCGAATTAAGGTTGGCCTTCATCCAGCATTGCTTACTCGTCAACCATCAATGTATGGCGTGCAGTTAACATATCTTCTTTATAGTGTCGTTGCGGTGTAGTTGTTACGGACCAACACAGCTCCCAAAACACTATATAATATAAAAAAATATAACTCAGTACTCACTGCAGTGAGTGACAGAAAGCGCATTTTCTCGTCGACGAAAACTTGAGGTCACGGACGGACGGACAGACGGACGGACAGACAGACAGACAGACGGACATGGCGAGCACAATAGTGCATTTTTCCATAAATGAGAAAATGCGCTAAAAATGTCATGTTCCATGGTTACAAGTATCGATTCTCGATATATTTTGACCAAATAACGTAAATTAAAACATAAACAAATAAGTGAAAAACAATAGCAAATAAAATTTGAGGATGATCTGGAAATAAATGATGAAAAAATCTAGCTTGTGCGTAACTTGCATGCATGATGATATCCTATATATGGAATGAGAGTTCGTGGCAGAGATCCTTTAATTATGAAAACACATATTCATTCTGAAGTATGAAAATTGCATGTATATGCTTCTTGATTGATAAAATCAGGATTTTCTTTACTCGGTAGGAATTTAAGCTGAAAAATGTTCGAACTAATAGTGCAAATAACCTGCGGGACAGCAACGTGAGCATAATAACCTACTCATTACTAC